GGGTAGGAGGGTGGCCGGCGCCACCGGAATCAGCCATGTGGCTGAGCCGCGGTACAAAATGCCGGCCTCGGACATGGCGGCGGCGCCTTTGTTACCCCGCCCGGCGGAGGAGCTCAAAATGGCAGCGTCGAGAAAATGTGGCGCAGAGAGAAATGCGAGACAAAGGGGGAAGCGCCGCCCCAGCGGGAACGCCGCCCGGCCGGCTCCGCCCGAGCCGGGACTCCTCCCCCGGTAGTCACCGGCTCCTCCTTCTCTTTTTTTGTGTGTTATATAATTTTGCTTCCTTGATCGGGAGCTGTTCCGCCGGATTCCCCTTCTCGATTTGCTTGCCTGAGTGTCCCTGAGAGTCCCTGAGAGCACCTTCCTTGTTCTGCGCCCTTTGCTCGTGCTGTCCCGTTATCCATTATTAATAGCAAAGGTCATCTGCTTGAAAACAGCTGCATAAATAGCATCGCTCCTGAGCCTCTCCTTTCTTAGATCGTGTCCCCCCTTCCCCTCCCCCAGATAATTCATTCTTAAGCGCGTGGGAAAGACTGTCGTACTCACAAGCTGTTGTCTGCTTGTAGTCTGAATTTCTGGCATTTGGGCTGCAAATTTCGGACTTGGTAAATCCTGGGCTGTTGACTTAGACTCGGTAGTCTGCATTTGGGACCAAGAAAAATAAGGTAGACCATACGAATTGTGGCTGTTGAGAATGATCTCTGAGGGCAGTGCTAGGTATTACATCTTCAAAGGTCTGCCATAAATGTTAACATGTGGAGGGATGGTAAAATACATTGCACAAAAAGCCAAATAGCCATTTCAAAACTAAATAACTCGTTCGTTCCCCTTTAATTTCAGGTTTGGTGCGCCTCGATTTGGAGGAAGTAGGGCAGGGCCTCTATCTGGGAAAAAGTTTGGAAACCCTGGGGAGAAGCTAGTTAAAAAGAAGTGGAATCTCGATGAGCTGCCTAAATTTGAGAAGAATTTTTATCAAGAACACCCTGATTTGGCCAGACGCACAGCTGTAAGTACTTTCATGGACCCTCATCACACTTAGATGATTTCTAGTCAGGCTAAATCCCACAAGTGTCTTGCAGATAATTCAGTTTTGGGAGTTTACTTTTTATGGCTTAGTACCAATAGCTGGGAAGAGGTGTGGCACTTTTGAAAACAAGAGGCTTCACATTTTTCTATTTAAGGTGGTTGGATAATAGGTCATGGTGGTACCTGCTATAAGGTAAAAGGATTGGATAGAATAGAACAGAATATGGGGGCCAGCTAGTGGTGTGGTGGTTAAGGCACTGGATCCTACATGGCTGATGGCATAGGTCAAGTCCCAGACCGGTGGCTTCTGAAACAGGTGCTTGTGCATGATGCATGCATGTCCTAAATCTGAAAGACAGCTGGAGGAAAGGGGGGATTCGCTGTGTGGCTATCCATAAAGAAGGTGCTTTTTCACTTTACCCCTCTCTGGGGAGCTTATGTGCCCTGTGGCAAATTAGTGAATTAGTAAATAAAATATAATTTAAAAACTAATGTTATAGACTATGGGTAGTTCTTTAGACTAGAGTTGCCATATGTGGGTCCAGGTGAAAAATGAAGGTGACCACTTTAAGAGTAAAACGCAAATCTAAGGCTTAGTTTATCAGTTGTATATTTAAGGGGGATTGTTATGAGACTCAAGATCATTACAATTTGCTTTTCAGCAAGAGGTCGAAACATACAGAAGAAGCAAGGAAGTTACAGTTAGAGGTCACAACTGCCCTAAACCAGTTCTGAATTTTTATGAAGCAAACTTCCCTGGTGAGCACTAGTTTTGGGGTCCTTCCACCACCCACAAACCCTTCCCCAGTAGTCACTTGGCATTACTAATTTTCCTTACTGTCACTACAGCAAATGTCATGGACGTGATTGCGAGACAGAACTTTACTGAACCCACTGCTATTCAAGCTCAGGGATGGCCAGTTGCTCTAAGTGGATTGGATATGGTTGGAGTAGCACAGACTGGATCTGGGAAAACATTGTCTGTAAGTTGGGGAGAATTCTCAAGTTAATCTGTCATGTACATTAGGGAAAATAAAAAGTTTTTTAATATAACTTTTGCTTTCTCCCCCCAATAGTATTTACTGCCTGCCATTGTCCACATCAATCATCAGCCATTCCTAGAGAGAGGTGATGGGCCTATTGTAAGTATGTGTATTTTCTTAATTTATGGCTAGAAGCATAATGTAGGGATTTGCAGAGTATGTAACGAAAACTGAGCGTCTATGGTGGTTTTATTTAGAGATGAGTAATCTCATTTAGTTTATGTGGAGCTGCTTTTGGTTATTGAACAATGCAATTGAAGAAGGATCTGCCAATATAACTCAACAATTTTAAACTAGTTTTCAGTTGCATGTGCTAAAAACCTGTTCTTTCTTTAGTGCTTGGTGCTGGCACCAACCCGGGAACTGGCCCAGCAGGTGCAGCAAGTAGCTGCTGAATACTGTAGAGCATGTCGCTTGAAGTCCACCTGCATCTATGGTGGTGCTCCAAAAGGACCACAGATACGTGATTTGGAGAGAGGTATGTAGTCTGAAAAATGTTTCGTCACATGTATGGTGCTAAAATTTCTAGATGTTGCATCAATAAATTTGTGTTTGCTTGAAGGTGTGGAAATCTGTATTGCAACACCTGGAAGACTGATTGACTTTTTAGAATGTGGGAAAACCAATCTGAGAAGAACTACTTACCTTGTACTTGACGAAGCAGACAGAATGCTTGATATGGGCTTTGAACCACAAATAAGGAAGATTGTGGATCAGATAAGAGTAAGTGGCTTCATACGTCATCTTTTCAAACTTACTTCTGCACTCGCTCTTAGAGTACAATGACTGTTTTCCTTCTAAAATCTTTTAGCCTGATAGGCAAACCCTAATGTGGAGTGCAACTTGGCCGAAAGAAGTAAGACAGCTTGCTGAAGATTTCCTGAAAGACTATATTCATATAAATATTGGTGCACTAGAACTGAGTGCAAACCACAACATTCTTCAGATTGTGGATGTGTGTCATGACGTAGAGAAGGATGAAAAGTAAGCTTTATTATTATTATTTTTTTTTTTTTGGAGAGATTTTTGCTACAGTGCGCTTGTTGGAGAGACAGGCAGAAGGTGAGAAATTGCCCCCTAGGGGGATGGCCTCTCCAGTCTCTTCTCAGGATTTTGGGCACCCACATATAACACCCCAGGTGTGAGTTTCAATCCACTGTGTACAGGATTCAAATCATGGTCAGCCACCTTGGAAGTTCAGTTCCTTAACCACCTGCTGGCCCCACTTTATTAACTCTTAAGAATAAGTGCTGTGTAAATTGAGGATTCGTTGTTTTCATGAGTTGTCTTAAAAGTGATTTTTGGGGATCAGCAGACATGGTTCAGATCCTGGACCAGATAGCTGGTTTTCTCACTTTTCCTTCTGTGTGTGTGTGTCTCTCTCTCTCTCTGGTCAAATTCAAATAAAAATGAATGACTAAAATTAATTTTTTTTAAAGTTATTTTCAGTTAGTGTAATGTGTTCATTTAAAATTAGCGTGCCAATCCTGAAAAATCGGATGTATCTTTTGGGTATTGGCTATCACCATTTATCACATTACAGCAGGAAATTACTGAACTCAGGTTTACTTAAGGACCAGTGGTAGAATTGCTTGATGAGTGGTTTAGCAAGTGTATATTAAACTCAGCGTATATACGTATATTTATTTCTGTCTTTGTAAGAATTTTGCCATAGTGCATATGTGTTTGCCAGAGAGGGGAAAAGTGAGAAATCATCCCTGGGGCAACAGCCAGGCTGCAATCCATCTCCATTCTCTTGGTACTTTGGCACGTGCTCACACCTGGTGTGATTTTTTTCAAACCACCAGGTCTAGGACTCGAACTGCAGTGGACCATGTGGGGATCCAACTCCTTAGCCACCATGCCATCTGCTGTCCCCTAAACTTGTTTGTAAATGTGCGGCTGTAACTAGGGCCTATTTTTAAAATTAATTTGTTTCTTTCTAGACTTATTCGTCTAATGGAAGAGATCATGAGCGAGAAGGAGAATAAAACTATTGTTTTTGTTGAAACCAAAAGAAGATGTGATGAACTTACCAGAAAAATGAGGAGAGATGGGTACGTGGGTTTCCTCTATTGGAGCAGATATGGATAAATTTGAGTCCATGGAAAAATAGAGTAAAGTTTATTTTGTTGCTAAAAATTCTGAAAGTCATGTGTAGTCTTCATGATAAGCATTTCCCTTGACATTTTTTTGTTTTTTGTTTTTTGAAAACTTCCTCATGTATTAGAGTTAAGAAAGGGCAATATCTCAGGGAAATGGATTTGAGATATCTTATGGGAATCTTAAAAAAGATTTGTGGCTAAGCACTAGTCTCATAGGTAATGTAAGTTGTCTTTAATTTAGGTGGCCTGCCATGGGTATCCATGGGGACAAGAGTCAACAGGAACGTGACTGGGTTCTAAATGGTAAATATTTTAATTGAAGATATCCCCACCTGCCACCCCACTTCAAATTTCGTTCAGCTTAAATGGTCATATGTCTTCTTTGCAGAATTCAAACATGGAAAAGCCCCTATTCTGATTGCTACAGATGTTGCCTCCAGAGGGCTAGGTTAGTACGAACTCGCATTCATGGCTTGGTTTCCCAGAAAAATCTCCATATAACTTATTTAAAGAAAGTTTATTGCTTTCTTTAACCTCTGCATTTTTCTAAGTTTTTTTCACATAAAGGTGCTGTCTTTGTGGCAAGGCCTAGGCATGACAATCGGAGGACTCGAGGGGGATGGAGGACTAGTGATCGGCTGGCTGCTTCCAGTCGATTAGAGAGGTGAAAAGCTTGAAAGTGTGCCAGTAATCTTCAAAAGGCAGAACATACCACCTCTGCCCCGTAATCTGTTCTCTCTGGGGGGAAAATACGGAAGTTACCCTCACAGTTCACTGCCGTGGTATTTCTTCTGTCCCATGCTTTGCATGACTGCCATGGTACAGCATTGTTTCAAACTGTTTACCGTGATCTGTGGGTCTTTGAGTTTCAGTGAGTTTGCTGAAATGTCGAAGAAATATTTCCAAACTTCAATGTTCAATGACATTTTTGTTCAAGTTTGAAATGGAGAGAGCAGCTTTAAAAGGTACTAAGCCTTTTACAAATTGGTGAGTACTGGCACATGAGATCTAGAGCAGGAACGACTTCTCACACTTAGTCAGTGGGAAAAGAAAGCAGTGCTTTGAAAGTTCCTCCCTCACCTACACAGTAGTCGTCATGTCGAGACCTGCCAGAGAGAGACACATTCTCAAGTGAATCCTGGCTTCTTGGAAGCGCTTGCCTAGACGAGACACAGTGCATAAAAACAACTTTTGGGGGACAGGTATGTTTTTCTTGCAGCTGCGGTTGTAAGGTCTTGGCAAGACAAGCAGTGTGGCCAGAAATTTGAACTTTTGATGAGTGTGTAATGCAGAGGACCTTGTACGTTTTTGTTTAAAGGTCCTCAAAATGAGCACATGAAGAGGTTGCTGTGAAACTTTGAGTGGCCCTACTGCGCAGAAGCATTCAGATGTCACTTGATGATTTGTAAGGGGACTTGCTGATTGGGAGTGTGCTAGGGAATACATGTTCTTTTTGACAGGCGCTATCACTGGGTGGGTAATGACTTACACAGATGACATGTACTCTTTTTCTTTTCTTTTTTTCTTTTTTCTTTTTTTCTTTTTTTTTTTTTTCTTTTTGCTCTTTTTTGTTTTTGTTTTACCTCAATGGTATTCCTACAGGGAATGGATAACCATTTTAACTGTATTTTTTTCAGCCCGTACCTTCTTGGGAATACAATTGTCTAACTTTTTATTTTTGGTCTGGCTGTTGTGGTGTGCAAAACTCCGTACATTACTATTTTGCCACACTGCAACACCTTACAGATGTGGAAGATGTGAAATTTGTCATCAATTATGACTACCCTAACTCCTCAGAGGATTATATTCATCGAATTGGAAGAACTGCTCGCAGTACCAAAACAGGCACAGCATACACTTTCTTTACACCTAATAACATAAAGCAAGTGAGCGACCTTATCTCTGTGCTTCGGGAAGCTAATCAAGCAATTAATCCCAAGTTGCTTCAGTTGGTTGAAGACAGAGGTTCAGGTAAGATTAACACGAAAAATGTTGTTAGTTTGGGTCACATCATTGCAAGTCCATTTAAATGGGATTGGAGGGTGAGTAAAATCTTCACTTGAAACTTAAACTAAGAAATGGTAAATACACTATTGAATAGAGCTTCGTAATTGCTGCCTTTAGCAGCAATTTGCTTCACAGATGTGATTGATCAGTTTGCAATTACTTTTTTGACAGGTCGTTCCAGGGGTAGAGGAGGCATGAAGGATGACCGTCGGGACAGATACTCTGCAGGCAAAAGGGGTGGATTTAATACCTTTAGAGACAGGGAAAATTATGACAGAGGTTACTCTAGTCTACTTAAGAGAGATTTTGGGGCAAAAACTCAGAATGGTGTTTACAGTGCTGCAAATTACACCAATGGGAGCTTTGGAAGTAATTTTGTGTCTGCTGGTATTCAGACCAGTTTTAGGACTGGTAATCCAACAGGGACTTACCAGAATGGTTATGATGGCACTCAGCAGTATGGAACTAATGTTCCAAATATGCACAATGGTATGAACCAACAGGCATATGCATATCCTGCTACTGCAGCTGCACCTATGATTGGTTATCCAATGCCAACAGGATATTCTCAATAAGACTTTAGAAGTATATGTAAATGTCTGTTTTTCATAATTGCTCTTTATATTGTGTGTTATCAGACAAGATAGTTATTTAAGAAACATGGGAAATGCAGAAATGACTGCAGTGCAGCAGTAATTATGGTGCACTTTTTCGCTATTTAAGTTGGATATTTCTCTACATTCCTGAAACAATTTTTAGGTTTTTTTTGTACTAGAAAATGCAGGCAGTGTTTTCACAAAAGTAAATGTACAGTGATTTGAAATACAATAAATGAAGGCAATGCATGGCCTTCCAATAAAAAATATTTGAAGACCAAATTAAGTGGAAATTGTACTTTATTTTACATATAATGTTATGTATAACTTTGCATAGATTCTTTTCTTTTTTAAAAAAAATCATAGGAACTAAAATGCTCCTTTACTTTCCTTAATTTGGGAGGGAGTTTGTGGGGGAGGTGATCAGAAGACCCTTATTAAAATGATCTATCCATATTACAAGAATTAAAATGGGATTGATTTAGGAAAATTTATAATTCTAGGTAAAGTTGCCTAAAAACTTTGTCGGTAGTTCCCCAGCATCAGGGAAGTCTTAGGTTTTTTTTTTTCCCTTATTCATTAGCATGGTTAAACAGGAAATAGTCAACTACAGTGTCAGAACAACACGGATGACTTACTTTGCAAAACATAATTGGTTAAGCTCAAGTTTTCCCCCAAAAAAGTTTACATTCATGCTCGTGGCTATATTGTGAATTACCGAAATGTTGAAAAGAGCTGAAAGACTATTGACTTATTCCCTTTTAGAAGATTGGCCAAGAGCTAGATTTGAGTCTTTGAATTTGCACAATGTCTTAGTGCAGGTTACATGTAGATCCTAGTCTTTCACAGGCTTCCTGAGGCTCTTAACTAGTCACACTGGAGGTCATGAATGTCTAATAATTCAGGGAATTCTAGAGGTCTTCAAGCTGAAAGGTCTATTTATACTTTAACACAAGGGGAAAAAACCTCACCGTAATTAATGCTTAATCAGGAGGCAACATAACCAAAAAGCACAGTGAATTCAAGTCTTCATGTTTCAAAATGGGTTATTGCAAGAAAAATCCAGGGGATAGTTTTAGATTTAACTTTGGCTCACCACCGAACATTCTAATCATTTATTTCCGTTATGGCTAAAAGTCTAAATGTCTTCCCAGCGTTTTTACCAGGTCTTTGAGAGACTTCATTTAAATTCTGGTTATTAAACTGAGGCTTTAATTGATAATGCCTTACTCTTTTAAGTATTAGAATTTGCTGGGTGTGGCAGCTGGTAAGAGGAGCTGTATTTTTAGGGCTAATAACATTGAGAACTGATTCAGCTTCTAGGGCCTGAATAGTTTTCAATGGTATAGTTAGTCAGATTCTTGATTTTTAACTTTGAAGAAGCTTTTGGGGTAGGATGGAGGATTTATTACTTATTTTACTGTTTGATGTCTCTGTGGGCCTTTTAATTTGTAAACAACTGATTGTGGGGCTGTGGAAAATTTACGTATTTACCTTTGACATTTTAAAGAGACAGTCCACTTTTTAGCATGTGTGTTGTGTCCAGCTTGTGGTTGTCTTAACTAATAAATGTGATTTTTCTCCCCATTCTCTCTCTCATTTATTTGCGCATAGGTTTCTTCCCTGGTTTGAGTTCAAGTGTGGAAAATACTGGATAATAGTATCCAGTTTTGCAGTTAATTACTACAATTGCTTTCCAAACTTTCCAGCTTAATATTTTTTTCAAATTGTTTCTGAGCCTGTCCCACAACACTTTACCTGTGATCAAAGATTTCAACTATTTGGTTTTGTTAACTCAGTTGCTAAGCCAATATACCCTTTTCATAAACTGACCCTTCATAGTCGTTTGGTGTAAGTTTATCTTTCTCCTGGTCCATTTCTCTCTGGATGTCCAAAACTAAACGAGTATTATTAGGAATTGACAATTCTGTCGGGCTGTGTCACTTGACCACTGGGGCATTTATAAAAAGTTGCTGGGCCCTTTGTTCATTTATCTAAATGGTTCCCAGGTGATGGATGATCGAAGTGCCACCGAACTTTGGGAGCCAATGCATTATAGTGACTACCCCTCCTTGCCACACAGCCTCACTACCTCCCCAAGGGAGGTTCAGCTTCACATCAGCTGGCTGGGAGCAGGCCTGCTAGCTGCCACACTTGCCTACATTGGTTCCATGAACATCTAAACCAGCACACGATCAGAAGGTGTTTATCAGAACCAAAATCTATTTAGTGGATAACTTAAAGCAGGTGTATTTACATGGTTATTTGGAGAACGTGGACGTGTTTTGATAGTTTTTCCGCGTTGCCAGAAAGGGAACCAAAGGTCGATCTGGCTATACAGCACAGTAGTGAAGAGCCGGCGGAAATAACCCTTGTCGGTGCTGACGAGGGAAGATGTCTCGCAGTTGGTGGGGGCTAGGAGGGCTGGGCTGGAGCTGCTTTGCTAGATAGGAAGAGGGCCGAGATAATCGAGGCCGCTGTCCGCCCCAGTCGACAGGCGGCATCCGGGGCTGCCGTTGCCAGAACACCTGACGTGTTTCCGGGGGCGGGGCTTGCTGGCCATGAGCACGCTCACTTCCGTCGCGCCTGCGCCGTTGGCTCCCGGCTGCGGCGGTTTATTGGGAGCAGCGCGGATGGGAGAGCGTGCTCTAACTGCCGAGGGAGATGCGCTGTAGTGCAGCTGTCAGGGCCTGCCGTCAGGTCTGCAGGTGCCTGTCGTCAGGATTTGGGGGTCGTGTGGATGGCGGGCAGCCGGAACTCTTGAGGGAAAGCAGTAGTTCCCCCGGAGAGCCCCTGAGGGCGAACGCGGAGCTTCCCCCGGGCAGCGAGCAGACAGGAGCCCCGGAGTATGGAGAGGGGGGCGAGGCGCTGTTAGAGATCTGTCAGAGAAGGCATTTCCTCGGTGGGACCAAGCGACCGCTCAGCCGAGGTTCTCTTCTGAGCGGGTGCCACAACGGTTTTGGACCCTTGGGCATAGAATTGCGGAAGAACCTGGCCGCAGAATGGTGGTCCTCCGTGGTGGTGTTCAGGGAGCAGGTCTTCCCGGTGGACGCCCTCCACCATGAGCCTAGCCCTTCGCCTCCCGGAGGCAGTGCCTTCAGGTTAGTTTCTGCAGAAACTCTCCGCGAAATCTTGCAAGACAAAGAGCTGAGTAAGGAACAGCTAATAACATTTCTTGAGAATTTACTAAAAACATCTGGGAAACTACGGGAGAACCTTCTTCACGGTATGCTTCACGATTTAATGGTTCAAAACAGGTGACGGGTGGAAAGGCAGACTCACTGGATTTCGGAGATTGCAACTGGTCCTTAGTTTACTTGATTTTCAACTTAAAAATGTTATATTGGGGCCACCAGAGGGTATAGTGGTTACATCACTGGACTCCCACATGATCAACCACCGTTCGAGTCCCAGACCCGGTGGCTTGAAAATCACGCAGGCCACTTGTGCGTTTGTGCCCAAGATCCTGGGAGGAGAATGGAGAAGGGATTGCAGCGTGGCTGCCCCGCCTGGGAGGTTATTTCTCACTTTCCTTCTCATTGTTTCTGTCTCTCTATCCAGCTAGTGCATGCATCCTAAGGCAAAAATCTCTTAACAATTATTTGTGTTTTTACTGACTCTTTATCTGAAAGATCCAATATCGCTTTTAGTTTCACTGGCAACCCGTAGAATTTGAGAGTTCAATTGAGCATTCCTAGAATTAGAACTGCAATCTATTTTATCATGTTTGAAGCATTTGTTCCTTGTTACAAATACTTCCTGTTACTTTTAAATGTTATACATAACTGACTAAAAGCTCATTTTTCTAGAGCAAAAAGAAAATGTCCTCCAATTTTTCTTTTTTTTAAGAATTATTTAATTTTACTTCATTTATTTATTTTACAAGCAGTGATTTTTATTCATTAATAAACTAAAAAGTCTACTTCCAGATGATTCTTTCTCATGTATCCTGCATGTTTTACTTAGTAAGCAAAGCCCGGTAAGGCGAGGCTTCAGCTAGTCCTCAGACTCTGACCCTTCTTCGTCTTGACTAATCTGAGAGTAACGAAATTCATAAGTCTCATCAGATGCAACCACACGAAGCCAATCAGGAAGGTGATTCTTAAGGTATTTCTCGGTGAGGTATTTCAAATACCTTTTAGAGAACTGTTTCTTGGAAACAACTATGATTTTATTCTTGAGGCGTTCAGTGTGAGCTACATTTCCAAGGTTGTCAGTTTTCCCATTGACTTGAACCTTTTCCCGCAGAAACTGTTGAAAATTTCCAGAGTCAAAAATGCCGTCATCTAAAGGTCCACATTAAACTTCCAGGTTGACCTCTTAGGCTTGTCTTTCTGCGGCGCCATCTTGGCACCCAACCGAGCAGTCAGAAAGCTCTTTATTTATTTATTTTTATTTGCTGTAGAGTACATGCACTCACCAGAGAGAAAGTGGGCTCAAGCCACAGTCAACCATGTGGGAGTCCAGGATCTGAACCACCAGAGAACCTGCTTCCCCCTGCCCCAATTTTTCTTACTGAAAACTGATCTGTAACCTCTCGTTTGATGATCCCTTACTTGCCAAATCCTGTGGTTATCTAGGGTAATTTTTCAATCTGCCAGGCAAGAAGACTAATTAATTAAGCTTTTGTTTTTCTTATTATTATTTTATTTATTTTGTGTGTGTGTGAGAGAGAGAGATTTTTGTGGTTAGAGACATCCCTGAATATACTGGGCACACATTTGCCTGTGTTTTGGGGCTAGGGGTGTATTGTGTTGGGACCCTGTTGGGGATGCTGTCTCTGTCCTTTCTAGTGGAAGAATTTGTGAGTACACTTTAAAAACAATAAAGAGGGACCAGTAGGTGGCGTTAATGGTTACATTGCTGAACTCCCATGTAGTCGACTGAGGTTCAAGTCCCAGACCTGACCACTTAAAATTCAAGCTGGGCATGTGTGCCCAAGATCCCAAGAGGAGAATGGAGGAGAAGGGATTGCGGCATTGCCATCCCCCCTGGGGTGTGTGTGGGGGGTAATTTCTCACTTTCTATCTCCAGGAGATCTTACCTTCCCTAAAGCAAAAATCACTCTCCAAAAAAAAAAAAAAAAAAAAGATGAAAATGTAAACTTTTCTCAATACAAGTTCTATCAAGTTCAAGACACTTAAAATAAAGCCAGATAGTGGGACCAATAGTTGGAGTAATGGCTACGTTGCTGGACTCCTGTGTAGTTGACTGTGGTTTGAGTCCCTGGCTTAAACCCACTCTGGGCGAACGTGTGTGTGCCCAAGATCCCGAGAGAATGGATTGTGTTGTGGCCATCCCCACTGGAGGGTGATTTCTCGCTTTCTGTCTCTCTTTGTCTTGTGAGCGCACGCACTCTATAGCAAAAACATCCTTTGGGAAAAAAAATCAAGTTCTCTAAAGCAGCAGTCCCTAATCTTCCTGGCACCAGGACCAGCCTCATGTAATACAATCTCCACAGGGTCAGAGAAGGCAGGGGTGGGGGCTTGGGGGAGTGATTCCTAGATGAAACAGTTTCTACCACTAACACATTATAGTATCCAATGAAACAGTCACACAACAGTAGGGTTTATGCTCCAGTGTGGACACTGATCCAGCAGGAGGCAGAGCCAGGCAGCAATGGAGTGATGGGGGATGGCTGCAAACACAGGGAGGTCGTCGTCACCCCCCACTCCCCTGCTGTGCTGCCCAGCTGACTCATCCAGCACCAATCTGCAGCCTTGGGGGGGTTGGGACCCCTGCTCTACAGGCTAGCATTGCTGCTACCATGTCTTATCCTTTGCACTTTGCAAAATGCTGTCTTTGCCGTTTTGGTGCTAGAAACAAAATCTCCTAGGGCAGGCCCAGTACTCCAGTGTAAGGGAAGCAGGCTCCCATACGGCCAACCACAGTTTGAATCTTGGCATACCAGGGACATGTGTGTGCCCCAAATCTCACATGAAGGGGAACTAGAGGAGAGGGAATCGTGGTATAACCATGACCTTTATCTTTTTGTCTCTCTGGTGAGTACACACACACTCTGAAAACATTTAAAAATACAACAACAACTAAATGGCACGGCTCTGCAAGTTAGTACTCATATCATGGCCTATAGATCTACTTAATGAAATGAAGCAAATGAAAACAAACTGATGTTAAATGTGACAGCTTTGATAAGTACCTCTATTCCATGGTGACTTGACTTTGGGGAAGTGGAGTCACTGCTTATTTACCATTTCCCAAAGCAAATCGATCTTCCCTATCTCAGATGAATGAAATTACCATCCTCCCAGTCACACAGACCTGAAGACATAGGAAATGAGACTTGACTGTTAGATACCCACTCACTCAGTCATCAGCCATGTGCCCTACATTTTCTTGATTTGGGAAAGTTAACTCCACTTACTTGCCAAATCCTGTGGTTATCTAGTGCTTTAACTTATTAGTTTACTAGTTTGCCTCTTTCGATTCCCAATGCAATTACTGTCCTTTTTTTTTTTTTTTCTTTTGCTATAGGACATATGTGCTCACTGGAAAGAGACACACAGAGGGAGGGAAGGGAGCGAAGGGGAGAAAGTAGCTCTTGCGTGGGATGACGATGCAGTCCTTTCTCCATTCTCCTTTTGGAGTTGTGGGTGGGCACGCAGACACAGCATGTTTTTCGTGTATCCAGGTCTGGGACTTGACCCATGTAGTGGGGAATGTGAGGTCCAGCTGCTTTAAACACCATGCCACAATGGCTGAGCGTTTTTATAAAGCCCTTCATAAACAGAGACTACCACAACAGTTCAGATGTGGAAAAAAGATCTGGCGGCTATCTATTTTTCTGAACTGTTGTGGTAGTCTCTGCTTATGGAGGGCTTTATAAAATCGTTCAGCCATTATGTCTCCAAATACTGTTTTTTGTTTGTTTGTTTTTATTTTATTTTTATTTTTGGAGACATTTTTGCTATAGGGCGTGTGTGCTCGCCAGAGAGACAGAGACAGAAAGCAAGAAATCACCCCCCAGAGGGGATGGCCACACCGCAATCCCTTCTCCTCCATTCCTCTTGGGATCTTGGGCACACATGCACATGCGCCTGGCATGAGTTTAAGCCACCGGGTCCGGGACTCGAACCATGGTCAACTACATGGGAGTCCAGCAACATAGCCATTATGCTAACTGCTGGCCCCATGTCTCCAAATACTGTTATTGTCCCATCCCCTTTCTTCTGTCCTGTGAATAACTGCACATATGTTAGACCTTTTTCCATCTCGTCATCAACTTTCTTGAACACATTAATCACAGTTCAAGTCCATGTCTAGCAACTCAAATATGTGTGTTTCTAGTATCTGTTTATTTCTAGGCTTTTGGTCATTTGGACTCTTCTAGATAATGTGTGGATAAAAAATGTATAGAGATAAATTGAGGTTTGGGTTGGTGATTTCTTCCTAGGAGGATTTTCTTTTTCTCTTGGCAGACTACGAGGTTGGGGGTGGAGCTTCCACCTACAATCAGGGATTAAGCTGATTTAGAAGCTGGGCTTCAGTCTTCTCTGTGTACCTCTGTCCTAGAGTGTAGCTCTGTAAGTGTCCCAGATGAAAGCCCAGGGTGTTTACCAGGGCGCCTCTTTGGAGGGTCAGGAACTACAATTTTTGTACTCTTAAGTTTTGTAATATAGAAGGAGGCCCTGCTCACCGTTTCAGCTTCTCAGCTGTTACTTACAAATTGGAAAACTGACACTAAATGATGAGTTCCCCTCTCTGTTCTCCCTTACTCTCGAGACCTTGGGCTCTCAAACTCCGTGTTGCCTTGGCAGCTCCCCTATGTCTTTAAACAGACTGAAGAGAGTTTTTGACCATTATCAACAGGCTGGTCTTCTCAAATGACTTTTGAACATAGTGTTCTCACTAGTGGAATGCAGGCTAAATGCAGAAAGACCCACAAAGACATGTTCAGGTTTTCTTAGATTTATTCTAAGTAGAAATGCTGGCCCCCAGAAAGACAGATTTTTTTTTTAATTACCAGAGCCAGCATGTGGCGTAGTGGTTAAGGTACTGGATTTCCACATGTGCCGACCATGATTCAAGCTCTGGACCTGGCAGCTTGAAAATCACTTTGGGCACATGTATGTGCATACCCAAAATCCCAGGAGGAGAAGGGACTTTCCCTCTCATCATCTCTCTCAGTCTCCAGCTAGCACACATGCCCTACAGCAAAAACTTTTTTAAAAAAATGACTAAATTTTTATTTTTGCAGTTCCCAGTGTAATCGATTCAGTAAGACATATAAATCAATTTTGTAGTACTCCTGCTAAAAATGATTAGTCCAAATTAAATCATGAGGAAACAGACAAGTCCTAAATGTAAAGCCTGGACTCAGATCAGAAGTCAGTGTCATGAAAAGCAAAGTTTGAGCCATCTCCATACCCTGCTGGTTAAGATGGTCAAATCCCACATGGCTGACCCTGCAATTTGAATCTTGGACCTTTAAAAACACACTGGGTGCATGTGCATGTGCATGCCCCACATCCTGACAGCATGGAGACATGGAGGAGGGGTTGCAGTTTCACCATTCTTTTTTTTTTTTTCTTTTGAAGAGGTTTTTGCTATAGGGCGCGTGTGCTTGCCAGACAGACAGAAAGAGACAGAGAGACAGCGAGAAATCACCCCCCAGGGGGGATGGTCACGCCGCAGTCCCTTCTCCTCCGTTCTCCTCTCAGGATCTTGGGCACGCACGCACATGCGCCCAGCGTGAGCTTAAGCCACTGGGTCCGGGACTCGAACCGCGGTCGACTATGTGGGAGTCCAGTGACATAGCCATTATGCTAACTGCTGGTCTCAAGTTTCACCATTCTTCAAGGGGGTTTCAACCTTGCTTTTTCTGTGTCTGTGGTGAGCACGTGTGTCCTCTGGCAAAAAAAAAAAAAAAGTTATCGGGGGAAGTGTTTTAGACTGAAAAACATTAAAGAAATCTAATAAAAATGTAGTGCATGGACTTTAATTGCAGACAAATATGACAGCAGAACATTTGGGGTAACAACTGGAACCTGTAAGAGATCAGCCATATGTTTAATGACATGATATTGGGACCAGCAGTGGGTGTAATGGCTATGTCACTGGATTCCCATGTAGTCGACTGCAGTTCAAGTCCCGAACCCAGCGGCTTAAACTTATGCCAGGCGCGCATGCATGCATGTGTGCCCAAGATCTTCCTGAGAGGAGAATGGAGGAGAAGGGATTGTGGCATGGCTATCCCCTCTGGGGGTGATTTCTCGCTTTCTGGCGAGCACATGCGCCTTATAGCAAAAATCTCTCTGAAAATAAATAAATAAATGACATGGTATTATGGTTAACTTTTCATGTACCATAATGTGTACACAGAGAATATTTTTATTTTTAGGAAATGCATGCCAAAGTGTTTGAGAATGAACAAGATAATGAAAACAAAATTGGTAAAATGTTGATAATGAATCTAGATGAGATGTGTACTTGTATTATTACATACAGATGTTTCTTGTACCATTCTTTCAACTTTATTGTAGAGCTGAAAATCTTCAAACTAGGGGCCGACAGGTGGCATAGTGGTTAAGAGTGCTGGACTCCCACATGGCTGAGTGTGGTTCGAGTCCTGGACCTGGCGGCTTGTTTTCTCACTTTCCCTGTCTCTCTCTCTGTCCCTCTCTGGTCAAATTAAAATACATATAGAAAATAAATAAAGTTCAATAAAATAATTCTTTAAAAAAAATCTTCAAACTAAAAAGTTGGGGTGGAAGAAACTACCTAAAATTACGATCTGTCTTGGTAGCTCCACGCTGCTTGTACTGCTGTGTTAACATTATACTATTACTTAGTGTAAAAAGTGACAAAAAGTGACTTGGGCTTGTGGAGTACACGTGTGCAATAACCGATTTGTCTTTTGACAGGTGCCTTGGGGCACTACGTTCATTGCTTGGACCTGGTAAACAAGCGGCTTCCTTACGGCCTTGCTCAGATTGGAGTGTGTTTCCATCCTGTTTCTGACACTAAGCAAATAGCTCATGGCGTTAAAAGGTACAAAAATAGCAGATAACTTGACCATATATGTAAATAGTCAAGAAAAAAATAAAAAAGAACCAATCATTTCCATTTGGGAATAGATGATATGATTTCCAAATAAGCTGTTTTTGTGTGATTTTTGATATCTAAAGAATTGGAGAGAAGACTGAAGCTTCACTGGTATGGTTTACTTCAGCGAGAACTTCAAACCAGTGGCTTGATTTCTGGTTGCGCCATCGACTCCTGTGGTGGAGAAAGGTACTACGAATTAGTTTCATTTAATAGGTAAATTGTCTCTAATGTGTCAGAAGCAGTGCTCCTAAGTCATGAGTGACATTTTATTGGATATGGCGATGTTATATTTGTAAGAGGCAGCTATAGTAAATCAAATAGAAATGTAAAAACTCTTTGTAATGATTGTCATTGTCCCAGATAAACGTTACTGTGATTTAAAAAACAAAACAAAACAAGAGCTACTGTGATAAAGACATTTGTGTGGAGCTCAGATACTTTTGTTGATAAACCTTATGTTGGAAGTAAAGTTCAAACTCCTC